TTCGTGTGGTTGGTTTAATGTCCAATAAAGTAAACTGAGTGCGAAACTTGGTCACAATCGCATTAATTGTTTGCTCACTTGGTCGATTATGTAGACCATAAATCGGACGTAAAGCGAACCGAACACTGATTTTGGTAATAAAATTCAATGATTTGCAAGCGTTGCTCGTTAGTAAGTCTATTCATGATGAAATGTCAAAGCATACTGAGCATCTTTCTCTTTGACACCATGTCTGAAATCCCACGTGATCTGTCAAATACTAATGCATGAAAATCCTAACCTCAAAAAAATCACCCGTTATATATTCATTTTAAGATATTGCATAACAAAGTATGTTATGTACATATACATACATGAATATGCATTTATTTAAATTATTTCGACCCAGGCGAATTTATATAAGGTCATATCGCTTCAACAAAAACAACAATTACTTGTATTTTGTTTTGTGCTTTTAGTGGGCCATTGTCAAATTCCAGGTATTCTTCTCTAAAGAAAATAGGGCGACAGAAAATACAAAGACTCGCGTTTTCATTCACTCACTAGCGAAATACAAAATTTTGACAATCAAACGCTGCTCACAGATGACGAAACAACACCACCTTGTACATATGAATTCGCCTTGATTTCGACTTAAAACGGCTAAAACTATATTTAAGGGATTCGCAAGCTGAATACCATAAAAGTCTTACATATTAAATATGAAACTTTACACCGTTAAAAAAAGTTGGTTGCGGATTCAAGTCCTCTAAACATTTATTTAGCCGTTAAAAACTTTACCACATACGTCAATTTGACACTTACGACACCTTGTGAACCACCTAATAGTATGTATGTATATATGTATATTTATACATATGTATGTCATATATTTAAAGTTTTTCATAAGATTAGTATGCATAGTTGTTCTGCTGTGTCATTCACTACAATATATTTAGTTCTAAGTAGTGATGTGAGGTTCCGGTTATTTAAAGAACCGGTTCTGTCGAGTCCGGTTCCGAGGAGAACCGGGTATTTGGGTCAATTTGATAGCATTAAAAACGAAGTTGATGTAAGTCGGCCACATTGGATATATAGCGACTATATGGTACAGTGCCTTGAGCCGAACAAAATTTGATGGGCCAATTCAGAGCTCCATAATTAGTATACAAACAAATTTCAAGTCGATAGCATCGATAGCATCAAAAATTTGGAATCGAGTTTCGGTTTCGGTTTCGGTAGAGTTAAATCTCGTTAAAAAAAAAAACTTTTAAAACCTGATTTCCCAAAATTTTCATTGTTACACTTTCATTTTTCAGGCACACGGGGGATGGACATCATTTTGCCTCGGGGGATACACGTAAATAGTACCAGGAAAACTGTTTCAAAAAGTACTGTACTGTAAAAAATGCTTTCTTTTTAAATGGAGATACTGTAAAAAGGAATTTTTCCGCAATAATATACGGTTTTTTGTCCAAAAAAAGAGATCAGCCTTATGTATGGCTAATAACACTGCAGGGACGCTAAAATGATACACAAAAAACGTCGAGACACGTAAACTTAATTTTGGATCTATACACCGTTTTTCTAGAATGGGTAATTTTCCCCAAGATATTTTAATTTTTTTAGTTTGTATATGTACGATGTGGCGTATGAGTAACATTATTTCCTGGCCCTATTTCATACAAAAAATTATTGCTCATTTTCGTTTAACCATTCGAAACTAGTTCATATATGGATTTTCAAGCTATTAGCTTGATTTTTTTGGCAAAGGAAGGCTTTAATAGAAATTAAAAAAAGTACAACAGATTTGTTGTTTTTTGATTATTTTTTTCCATGTTAAAGTTTGATTGTTTTTTCATAAAAATAAAAATATCTTGCGAAAATGACCTGATCTGGAAAAAACGGCACACAGATCCATTAAATATACGACCCTAATCTAAGTTTATGGGTATAGGCGGTGTTTTTGTTGCAATGTATGAACTCGGGAGATTTAGTGACCGGACCTACTTACATACGTATATGTACATATGTACATACACACATATGTAGATATGCGTAAATGAATCACTTGCGAGTGCATATCGCTCATTTACTAAAAGCCTTTCCGATTTTAACCAACGAGTTTTTTTTTAGAAACGTGTTTAAAGTATTCAATTCGTTCCAAAAATACANTGAAGTGCCATCTAATTAGAACTTAAGAAAGTTCAATTACATGGCAGTTGAGAAGTGCATGTGCAAAAATTTCCTAAATTGCATAAAGGAAATTTTTGCACATGCAGCAGTACATAGCACGTATTTAGGCGCCTGGTGTTAGCAGACGCGCCTAAACAACAAATAATACAGTTGCTTATTCTATACTCCGGCGGTAACTACACAAAGTTTTGGCTTTACGCAATTGGAAGTATAATATAAGCGGCAACTCTACATCACTCTCTCAAAGACCCAATTTTTTAAAGGATACAGTGCGTATACGTAAAATAACTCGCATCAGACGGAAACTGGAAGTTGGTGAACATAAAAATAGACAACGTAGACCCCGCCATAGCCGAGTGGTAAGTGGTGCACACTACCACTCAACGGGATCCAGGTTCAATGCAAATAAAATAATGTAAAAAAAATATTTTTTAAAAACAAGCTTTTATTTAACATGTACAATCAAAGGAATAAACAAAGTAGTGTAACAAAAGATTTTTTAGCAAGAAAATTTTGTTAAAACTGCACTAAAATGAATAAAATAAAATAAGTTAAGGTCTCGTTAAAGTTACTAAAAGCCATTTAGTGAAAGGAGTTATTCAAACTCTAATGAAAATTACTAACAATTTGTACTAATTTACTTCGTTTTTAAAAAAGCTTGTCGCGCGAATAGCAAACCGGCATTTAAATATCTGCATACATACATATACATACCTAACCAATTATGCATGTACGCTGAATTCGCCGACAAGCTTTTTTAAAAACGAAGTAAATTAGTACAAATTGTTAGTAATTTCTATTAGAGTTTGAATAACTCCTTTCACTAAATGGCTTTTAGTAACTTTAACGAGACCTTAACTTATTTTATTTTATTCATTTTAGTGCAGTTTTAACAAAATTTTCTTGCTAAAAAATCTTTTGTTACACTACTTTGTTCATTCCTTTGATTGTACATGTTAAATAAAAGCTTGTTTTTAAAAAATATTTTTTTTACATTATTTTATTTTATAATTTTTAGTCCATTTATAAAAGCGTTGTATATTAAAAAGTGTTTTTTCATTTTATGTACAAAATTTTGCAATAGATATTAAAATAATTCAACTTCCAATGAAAGAGAACAGAAGACTTGGCAAGCAAAATGTTGTTTGCTTACGTTTTGTATAAACATACATATGCACATATAGCAGCAGTTAATTTTATTAAAGGAAATGGCGTGCCGTCCATTTCCGTTGTAGCATGGCATATATTTAGGCGCAATATTTAAGTTCTTCTGTCGGGGCGACATCTGGAGTCTTCTAATTCTTACAACGAGGTTCATATCTAGACTAGATTGATATCTAGAATTTGCCACAAATAGCTTTGNTAGAATTTGCCACAAATAGCTTTGCTACACTACGCCGCCAGCTTTAACAATTTTATAGTGGTTTTACGTTCTTTGGCAAATTACGCTCTGTTAGCCATAAATCTTACTATTTTTTGACCGCCTTTGAATCAAGACCCCTGGACCATATGGGGAATTCATTTATATTTCAAATTGCATTGTCATCGTGATTGGAACTATGCTGAAAATTTCAAGTCGATAAAGCAGTTATTGTATTTGACTGGAGCTTCTCCCTCCGATTTGTGTTAATCAGACATTGAACAACCGGCCCTGAAGGTTGTATCCGGATTTTTTGTATATCCGCATAATCCGGATATCAAAGTGAACAGCTGTTAACTGGCTATCCGGGTTTTATCTGTATACACGAATATCCGAAACACGTAAACTCAACTGTGAGCTGTAGATCTGCATTCTGTTTTTGTATATCAAATTAGGTAATTTTCCACAAGATATTTTCATTTTTATGAGAAAAAAATTTGAAACCGTAACAGGAAACGAGAGATTTTTAAGCAAAAAACCAAACCGAATTTAATTCTCATATAAAAATTTAAGATTGTCGTTAATTTCTTCATGATCCTATGTTCGGATTCAAATCAAATTTATATGGGGCCACCTGTGAGGTAACACCTTTCAGTTAAAAAAAAATAATAATTATAGAAATGGGTAAATTTATTTCTTTTGCAAAACAATCAAGCTACTGACTATGAAAATCGCTGGAAAAATAAACAAGTTGTGAATGATTAAATGAAAATGTGCAATAATTTTTTGTACGAAATAGGGGCAGGAAATAAAGTTACTTATACGCCATAGTGTACATGGCGCATGGGTAAATGCTCAGTAGCTCGTTCCTGTAACGATGCTTCTTTACCAAGGCGAATTCAAATATCAATTCGCCGCCTTGTTCTCTAATGAGTAATAGAGAATGACGTATATTCTCTACCAGTAGAGAAATAATCGGTAGAGAAGAGTTACAGTAACGAGCTACAGTTATGCATACTTGGCATTGCATAAGAGTTGTCACATAAGGAATCTGTTAAATGAGCTTTGCATGTAAATAACCGCTTACATATCGTCAGCTTAATTCACAAAGACCCTAACCAACAAAAATTTTTTATTTTACAGGAGAAGCAAAAAACATTACAAAATCAGTATCAAAACAGGTAGGGCTTTTTTAAAAGTGGCACGTAACTCCGTTGTTTTTGGAACTAACACTTCAAAATTTTTATTGCAGGTGTATTTTAATATATCCTACCAAAATCTGAGAAAAACGCAGTTTCGAAAAAAGTGTTAGTTAGGGCCTTTGTGAATTTAGGTAACGATATGTAGAAGTCTGTTGGTTTTTGATTTGACGGCGTTTTTTTTTTTTTGTAATTTTAGCGTTGCCACAATGTTATCGCTGCTCTTTTATGTTATGCAAAAACTGAAATTAAATAAAACAATTGGGTTATTTTTCAATAAAAATGAAACGATTTAATTAAGTTAAATGGTTTACTTAAATTCTGTATTATTGTATACTTCTTGTTCTTGCACTTAACGCATTTTAAATATTCGTTGAAAAAAGTATTGTGTTGTTCTTTTCTTTTTTGTTAAATTTGCATTTTTTTGTTGTTGGTTGTATTATTTGTAATAACTGTGTTTTGTCGTAATAACTTGTACAATGTTAAATAATATGTAAAACTTAAAAGAAAAATAAGACAAAAATTAAATATTCTTCTATGTAGAAAAAAAACATTACATACAATTTTACTTCCACACTTTAAGTAGAGTTGAAGTAGCAATAGTCATAGTAGTAAGTAGTATACATGGAGTAACTAGTCGTAGTACGAATAGGACTAATGAAGTTCATGTAGTTTAGATACAAATGTGACTGATGTTGCATTTTGCGGCAACGCATTTATTCTAAACCTACTTCTCTACTACAATGTTTCGTTAGGTTTTAGCAAAATTTACACCGCAACGCCTATGTGAGCGAAAACCTGCGTCCAAATAATTAATTCACAACAGCTAACAATTAAATACCAATACGGAAGGAAGTGTGAAAACAAATTAGGTACCCAGTTGGCAGAGAATGCAATGCGGTTAAATATAAAATAAAATTAAGTAAATATTTAATACATAGCTTATAACTAAAAAAAAAAATAAAAAGGAGTAAAAGAAATACACGGTTGTCAAGTGTGAAAAGATAACTTAAACTCGGATAACAAACAAGTAGTGTGGACGTACTGATATATATATATATATAAATATATAGCATATTCGAATTTAAATGCGCTCTTTTGACTATGAATGAAAATGTTTGTATGTTTGTATTTATGAAGCGCATTTATAATAGTTTGAAGCGTTTAAGGCGAGTTGCTGTTTGTTGTTTTAGTTATACACAATACACAACCAACTGGGTATTAGATAGTGGATGCATAAATTATAAACGAAATAAATATAGTACTTTGTGGTACCTCTTGTACATGTATGGATATAAACAATGGAGTATGCATAGGTATAGCAAATATTATTCAAAATATATCTCTTGTCGCTGCTGGTAAAACTCGTATGAAAATTATGCAAACAAAACATACAAGCACATTTATTCTTCTAAGTGAACAAATTTTTTGTCTCAACTTCTGCGATTGCATTAACATAAATTGTGACAGTTTGAAGAAAAGTTTACACTAATATTAAAACAATTAAAAATGTATGTAATTATATGCAACTATAATAATGCTTTGAAGTTTTGTCTCGCATACTTTTTTTTTTTTAATTCTGTTTATGACAACTGCAGTTTTTAACATTCACGTCTTACACTTTACACGATTTTCTCTCTTTTTTTATATATAAATAAATTATTGTACGTTATAACGTTAATAAAACAATTTTAAATTTTTTCCTCTTTAACTACGCTTTTAAATTGCAATATATATACTTTTTTCTTTTCTAATTTAACGCCGCGTTTTACTTTAGTTCAACTTTAACTGTACTTTTACATGCATTTGCTCAACTAACTTCAACGACATTTCACCTCGCATACAAAGTATCGTTGCGTATTTTAAAGCGAGTTTGTTCGTCGGCACTGGAAATCATCTTTTTATATTTATAGTACTCTCATTTTAGGTGAATTTTTTCTTCTAAACTTTTAGTTACTCAGTGTTTGCAGCGAATTTGCTTCAACGCATTATTTCACGTTTTTTTGTTAGTTAAATCTAATTATGAATTTTAATCGCAATTTCCGTATTTCATATGTGCTTTAATTTAATTTTTATGTTATATGCAAGCAGGTATGTAGTTTGTATGGATGTATGGATGTTCGTCTGTATGTAGTATTTGCAATTTGTATGGTGAGTGGCTATGCTCAAATTCATTACAATTTTTTCGTTTCTAATTAGTTTTATATATATATATATATATTTATGTCTATATATATAATGTATTCATCGATACTCGAATTTTTAATTGCTAGCGGTAACAAACAAACAACAAATGCACCATCTTCAGTATATATGTACGTAGGAGTCGCAGCCTGCCTTATTCTTTTTATTATTACAATTATTATTTTTTATATTAGCTACAACATCTCTCATCTATAGTTTTGTATAATTTTCTGCTCATTCTCTGTAGTGCGCTGTCACACCAACGACGCAAACCGTCATACGCACACACACACGATGGAGTAATACCAACTTGCCAGGCGGTGTCTTCTGTAGTGTGGTGACGGTGGTGTGATTTAGTTTATACTCGATAATCGTTCAAATGGCACCAACTCGAATGCCTCATTCGCTGTAACTATAGCTGTTGTTGCTTTATTGCCATTTTAGACTTTATTATGCTGCGATTTTCAACTGCATACATACTCAATCGTCAGCTGGGTTTGTAGTTGTTATGACGTCGTTGGCGACATCGTGCTCCTGCTCCATCAATATCGTTCAAAATCAGTGCGTTTGCTGTTGATGTTGATTTGTTGTTGATCTCGAGACTGGTCGACAGCGTACTCGAGGCGGCAGTGTCCATGTCGTCGTGGCTGTAGGTCATAGAGATTCTTTCGATGGTACCCAAATGATTGGTCCCGATTGTGACCAGATCATCGCTTTGACTTTGCTGTAGATCTCTTCGATGGTGTCACCTTGGACAACTCCTGCACACGAAAATACAAAAAATGGAACAATAAAATTAATATTTGTTATATAATTGAGAGTAAAAATTTTATTTTATATGTAACCTGTGAAATATTCGCCGAATTCTTGTTCCATTTTAATCGCACGTTCGTATGTTTTCTTCGCTTGCTCCTCCGTCATGCGTCGATTCATTTCCCTGGTGAAATATATAAAACAAATATGAATTTTGTGCACAAAATAAGATCGAGTTTGCTATCCCCTAGTGCTTTCGCCCTTCTTCGCATGACTGTTTGAATTTTAAAGTGAGCTTTTAAAATGTTTTTTTTTTTTTTATAAATAAGCAGCAGGTCGCTCCAAAATATTATTATTATTAAGCAAAAGGTTATAAAACATATATGTATCTACTCGTTCACTGAAATTAGGCAACGGTTATCCTAAGGACCTGATCCAGTAGCCGTCGATAGCATAGAATTGAAAACCTCGGTCGAAATCGGACTTTCCTAATAAGATAGCCGCAGTTAATTGATTTTAGCTGATACATAATTGAAAAAAAAAAAAATGGTGCGATGGTGGCCGCGCCAAGTGTTAACAGGTGCTTACTACCGCTCGGTAGGATCTAGGTTCGACCCTTCTGATGTCAGTCGGGCCTACTTTACCAGAATGACCCAGACTTATATCTGGTCAAAGACTTTCACTCCAGCGAGTGTGTGCAATTTGTATGTTATTACGACAACAACAACCAAGGTTTGACCCCTGACCCTACACTCGAAGTTGAGAAGAATAGAGCAGCTACTTATAGAAGGTGGACTAATTTGAATAAAATATCGCTAGTGGCCTTCGCTCGGTAATCGAGGAATATGGGGCTTGCTGTGGTTCTATTAAACGGAATATACGGCTTCTCTAGGGGATACGAACGTACAAAGAACTATTTGTGTTATTTGAGGATGCGGGGTTCGAAGCGAATATTTCGCACTCCGAAGTATCTGTTTCAGATTTCTGAGACAACATTTCGTACAACGTAACAGCGAAATAAACAACACAAGCCCACAACCCTAACGGCGTCGTCCCTATGGACCATTCCCCATAGAGGCTGCACGCTTCTTGGGGCTGCCGTAAGTGGAACTCGACGACAACGACTGAAATATCAGCCAATCTGGGCGGGGTTGTTGTAGCCGCTTCAACAACAACAATAACACAAGCAGTTTCTGAAACCTACTTTTTTTATTTCGCCATACACCATACAAGCATGACTCGTTCAAGTAGAGAATCTAAATTTTCTTCCACTTCACAATGTAAACGATTTTGGTCTTCTCCACCGTTTCTCTAATACGTCCCCACTCGGTGAAAATTTGGTTCGGAATAAGGCGATTTTGCCGTACACAACGCAAGCGGTTTGATGAAACTACAACAATGTGGACAGAAATCAAATACGCGTTAAGATTAAGTGTTAAAGAATTTACATAACAGTAATCGCAAAGGCCGCTGCCCAGAGGATAATTAAGGTAGGTCTCCTTAAGTGCACCCAGTTTAAAAGGCTTTTACCCAAGAAGGCTCAGCCTCACTGCATGTCTTCTTGAAGGCTTTTCCTATTTATAATTTGCATCAATTTTACGTATTAATCAGCATTACAGATGGATTTCAATATACATTTGAAGTTGCAATAAAACACATTTGGTATGAACCTTAAAAGATGTACGATTTTTATGAATTAAAGAGGCGGCTATAGATAAGAAAATAGAAAGGAATGCGGAGTCAAAGGTCTCTTTGACTCTCAGGAAAGCTATTTAGCTCCTGAAATTATCTACTGAGTGGGTATTGGCTAGTACTTACTAAAAAATAACAGCATTCACTTACATTATCGAGTCCACCGATTTCGGTTTGATAAATATAGCAATTGGATAGAGTTGAGCGACTTGTAGCCGCTTTATGGCATTGCCCGATACATCCAAAATGCAGTGTTTACCCTTTTCCGCAACTTCGCGTACACTCGCCACCGATGTACCGTAAAGATTATCATTGTACTGTCCCGCTTCGATGAATAGATGATTTTGTATATCGCGTTCCATTTGTTCACGTGACGAAACAAAATGATAATCACGACCATCTACCTCGTAATCACGTTTCGGTCGTGTCGTGTCTGAAGCGAAACAAAACAGTATACATATATAAATACTTAGATATATATATATGCAAACCTAAAATATAACTTCATTATACTTACGTGGTACACAGGAGCCAAATTTATCTGGGTACTCGGATATCAAATCGTCATTGATGCGATCCTTCAACGGCCCAAGCACGATTACTGGCCGTGTGTAGTTAATGGATAGCCGTTGTACGGCCTCATAGGATAGCACATTTTCTTCGGATGCTGTAAAATATGCATAAAACGGGATGTCATGGCGGTAATGAAGAAATGAACGAATGCACGAAATAGATACGATGTTTGCAATGTCAAAATAAGCAATCGATATTTCATTGATATTTTATATGTATGTAAGTAAAAAAAAAATTATTATATTATTTTATATATAGATATTATAAGTTAATTTTATAAATATTTTACTGAAAGAAAGTTACTACGGTTTTTGTTTTTGCGAATCATTTTCCCTACCAACATTATCGAATACAACGATTACATAGCGCAATTTTTATTTTAATGCGTTTTTGTTTGTTTGCTTGCTTGCATTCACTGCTTTGCTAAAAAATATTAATTATTTAATTAATCATAGGTTTTTTTTTTATTTTCAATTTTATACAATTCAACCAAATAATAATTTGCTAATTTATTTATAAAGAGCAAACACTAATTTATTTATAATTAATTATAAGAGGCTGAACAAAAACAGAAAAAAAATAGAGCGACAGAGACAACAAAGCGCAAACGAGGGACAAAACATTTTAGAGGAACATTTCAGACAGATACTACATAAATAAAACGGTTCAATACACATTTGATGAAACAAAAAATAATTTATGTATGTACAAATGTAGCATAATTAAAAAAAAACATGAGTAAGAACTGCGCATTTTTATGTAAACTCAGACTTTTTATAAACATATAGATATTAATAAAGCGCATTTACTAGTAGAGCCTTTTCTTTACAGGCCTATTCTGCATTAGTATCAAAAACATTTGTAACTGGTAAATAAAGTTCCTGTAAATTTTTAAACCGCTTTCGCATTGTGTGCACTGGTAAATTCTGTAACTATTTCATAAGCAGGGGAACAAAATATTGTCCAGTGAAATATGCAACACCAGAATTTCTACAAAACTTCGTAGCTGAATAAATAAAAGCGTTACCAAGGTACTTAGAATTACTGTTACAATAAGTGGTGTCATCTTTTGGTAACAAAATTTACCGGTCACAAAATGTTGAGATTCGGATTCAGCGACCCAAAATCCACCAGAAATGGCTAGTCTTATCTCACATAAAATTTTCCTGTCGCACTGTGAAAAAAAAAATGGAGCTGGGTGTCTTCGTGTACATCAGACAATCTTGCCTATCTTAAGCCTAACTACAAAAATATTAAACATTTTAAACCATAATACTATATATTGGTGTAAGGCAGTATCGATACCAAAAGCAGCACCCGATTTTTAAAAGTATCGAAACTGAGTACTCCAAAGTACTCAGTACTCACAAAAGACCAGAAAGTACTCAGAACTTAAAAGAACTCGAAAGTACTCAGTACTAGCAAAAGAACTCCAAAGTACTCAGTACTCAAAAATACTCTGTTCCAATCATCACTTTGATACATGTACCTACTCAGGATCGATCAAAGTGCTCAGTATTAAGCGTCGACTTAAAGGTACTGAGCTTTATTTACATTTACCGGTATTCAGAAATGATACATACAATACTTGACCCAGAAAAGTTTGCCATTCATTTGGCGTAATTTGGGATCAATATATTAATTTGGATACAATGCTGGCAGCTTGTGAGATTTCTACACTAAGCTAAAGTAAGTACTCAGTACTCTCAAAAACACACGATCCTCAAAAGTACTCGATACTTCCCAACACAACTATCTATCAATGATTTTTTAAGACTTGTTTAAACATTTCTAGCAAATTCATTGCTGCCATCTGTTGCTACCTAAATATTATGTCATGCCAAAAAACTAACCGGCGGTTACTCTGCCTGTAAGCAACACTTTTCTAGTAAGGCATTACAGAAAACATCTCTAGATTGGCTACTTCGGCACTCATGGCACCATACATCAGCTGGCGTGACTTCGCTAATTGAATAACTCGTAATAGCTATTTCATACAGTTACGACTTTTTTAAGTACACTGCCGGAAAGAAAGTATCGGCACACCGTCAGCAAATCAGCAGGGTTTTATTGCAACTTCAAAATTGCACTTATTATACTAAAATTTAAATTTAAAATTAAAACGTTTAAAAAAATAATGAGAAAATTGCAAATTTATTGAATTGTCCTGAATTTCTAGAAATATATAATTAAAAAGTTGTAATTTATTTAATTTTGCTGAGTTTTGCACAAATTTTAAAAATTTGAATAAATTGTAATAAACCCTTCCTCCCCCGGGCAACATACTAACCAATTCTTTCTTAATTATCGTACAGTGCTAATTTTTTTGGACACAGAATTGCTCGATCATTCAAGTGCTTTTGATCAATTACACCAGCCTGAGGTTGAAATACCCAATCGATTGAATTTCCATCTCGAAAATAATATCTTCTAGAGAGTTCTCGACCTTCTCTGAGCCGCAAAAGAAAAATGCAATAATAAAGTTCTCTGGAGCGCATATGCGTTGATAGTTTAAAACTCTAAACCAGACATGGGCAGCTTATGGAGTTCCGCCAACGCTGCCGATCACTGCTCTAAACCGGTTTCTTTCTTTCCGCGCAAATAGATCAAAAGTGATCTACTGAATCTTAAATCGGAAATGTTTGCGCAAAGTTCCATATCGAGCACTTTAATTGATATAAATATAACTTGTCTTTGTGTGATAAGTAAATCGCATGGAATAAGCGCCATGTCTTAGAATAATATTTTGGTTATAACACAAATTGAGGGACATCCGCCTCCGAAGGGAGGCTTTTTATGAGACGTTTTTCCATGGCAGAAATACACACGGCGGTTTGACATTAATTTAGATGTTGCGCGGAATCGAACACAGGTCCAAAGGAGTGGAATACGCTGAATAAATTCTGAGATGCGGTGGTCACATTTGTCGCAGAGCTTTGGCAAATATTTTTCAAACAGCAAATGGTATGAGTAAGTCCTCTATTTGACGTCAAAATTTCACGAAAGTGATACCCAAATACTCGCATATTGCGTTTATTTCAGTTGTTATAGTATAAGGGAAAATAATAATAAAACTGCGATAACTTGATAAAATTAGGCTTCTAGGGTCACAAAGTTAATAATTTTCGATACGAGTAGCTCTTTTGAATTTTGGAATTTATAAATTCTATCAAATCGAATCTAATTAAATCAAGGAATAGTTTTAAATGACTTTTATTTGCAAAGAGGAGAAATTAGAAAAGTATCAGGAAGACAGTATTCAAGATTATAAAATACTTTCTACGCAAACAAAAAATCCAGTAGCACAACAACAACAGACCAAAGTTATATATCCATATACAATCAGCACTTACAGTATCGGTCATATCTATAGCACGCCATTTCAAAGTGATATTGTGTGCCACTTATGTTTATTTATTTATTTTTAAGAATTTTCAATTAAAATACAGTTCTTTCTCTAACAAACCCCATATAAACCCAAGTTTAACAATTTGTAGAAAACTTCAAAAAAGTGCAACAAATTTTCACCTAAGTTTCAAACTTTTTTCTCGGAAGTGTTAGAATTTTTTCGAGTTCACAGTTTTTTAGCCACTGCAATTTTAGTCTGATAATGTGCAAATGTCAAGTGGCTACGAATTACCGTTAATTTTTTAGAATTTTGTTTGTCGCATTGGCTTCCATATAATGAATAAACTCAATTTATTTGCATATGGAAGAAATCCGCAACACCTTTGGCGAAAAAAATTCTAAAAAATCAATGGTAACTTTTAACAACTTGAAACTTGCACATTATTAGACTAAAATTAGTTGGGATATAAAACTGTGTATTCAGAAAAATTCAAACACTTCTGAGAAAAAAGTTTGAAATTTAGGTGAAAATTTGTTGCACTTTTTTGAAGTTTTCTACAAATTGTTAAACTTGTTTTTATATGGGGTTTGTAAGAGAAAGAACTGTATTTTAATTAAAAATTCTCAAAAATAAATAAATAAACATAAGTTGCACACAATATCACTTTGAAATGGCGTGCTATAGATATGACCGATACTGTACATACATAAACCAAATCATAACAGAACGTAGAACTAACTGAAATTCGAAACAAAAAATAAACCAAGTGTGGAATGTCAAAAATGCGACTGTTCTACGGTTTTGTTGGGTGATGGTAGGTAGATGCGTTCAGAACCTAAATAAAATAGGGCTAAAAGGGTTGCTAGCACACTACGGCATACGAACTACTAAGGAGCGAATGCGACAACAAATGGATGGATTTTCAAAACAAAAAGGACAGGTGATAAAGCCTAAATGCTAGGCAAAAAATCCATTGTTTTGTCGCTACGGATTTTGCATTTGGCACACAAAATTCAAAGTTAAAAATCATTCGCATTTCAACTACATATTCAATGGGTGGGTGGGTGTAAGTGTATGCAGATATGTATGTATGTGTGTACAGGGTAGAGTGTGTACGAAACACAAGCGTTCCGGTGACAGTGATGTTGGAAATGGTGGGGTCGTGACCACGATTGAGAGAATACAAAGGTTGCGCCGATCTCGGACCGCTATTCCTCTCTTAACGAATTTGACAGAATCGTTGTTTGCATGACGTCACACTGGTGCAACTTGTTTACATTTTCCTTGCAACATTTTTTCTTCTTCTTCCATTCTTGCTCACGTTTTGGCATTTCTCTCTCGCAATTGCACCAGTGTGACGTCACACAAAAGTTATTCTCAAAAATCCTCTCTGATCGGCGCAATCTTGTATTCTATCATTCTTGGGTCGTGACAAGGTAGAAGGAATTGTGTGTGTGTGGCTACGAACAAAGAGAAAGAGAACAAAAGGAGAACAATACCAACAAACAAACATAGGAGCTAGTTGAGAACTGTACGAAAAGAATAAAGTGAAAGTGAAGTGAAAGACCAAAAAAAAAAAAACGGAAAAATTACTTGTAAGCACAACTTAGTTCAAAAAAATTATATAGTACAACTAAAGACGAAAGCTAAGTATGTACTAAGTCAACAGCCAAAGTAAAGAAAAGGGGCAAAATTAAATATGAAATTGTAAGAAAAAAGGGACCAATTTGATACATTTTTTTTTGTTGTTTTTCAACATTTCAGTGTCCTAGATGCTAATAGGCGGCAAAAATGCGACTAAAATAGTCGGCAAAAAAAAACAAGCTTTTCCTTGGGCGCATACGGGAAACAAACAATTCTCTAATTCAATCGGATTGTTGGTGAGTTAGACGGGAGTACATTAAGATAATCGTACCTACTACAACTCAATATACTTTTTAAGAAAACAATACTTAATAACAATCAAGAATATCAATCAACAAGCTCAATATTTCAAATTTAAAACAAGCCAACGTAAAGGTAACGTAATATACATAGGTCGTTTGTCATAAACATAACCCAACGCAATGTAACGTAACGAAATGTAGTAAGTATTAAAATATCCAGTAGAACAGTGTGGGTATAGAACAATTTGTGTGACTATTATTAAGGCGTTGCGCTGAAACGAAACATAGGGCGGCAAAACAAGTGTGTGTATGTGTGTGGGTGTGTGTTTGTGTGTAGTTAGTGAAGGAATTAGAGAAAGTAAACGAAACATATAAAGAAATGCACAATCGGACGAACGAATGAACGAACGAACGCACGAACGAAACAAACCAGAAAGTAGACGCTTTAAGACAAATGAATATTGAAATTAAGAGAACAAAATACTGTAATTTTCAATACTTTCTTTTTAATGTATGCTTAACTCTGATACTACGTTTTCAATTAAATTGTTTTGTCTTTAATATTTTTAATGTTTTACTCTTCACAAAAACTAACATATAATACTTTTTCGTTGCTTAAATAAACTAACTTTTAACGGCATTTGTTTTAAGTGTTTCACTTGATAATTAAGAGTTGCCACTTTAACATTACTATTTTATTTAAAACATTTTTTATGTTGGCACGCTTTAATTTTTTTTTAATTTTTAATTTTTTTTTTTGTAATTCTCAGTTTATTCATGTAACGTATTACTTCAGCCGCTGAACTTACGATAGTCAGCATCACTATTCTCCAAATAGATTAGTGTTATCTGCTCCATGTCTGGCAACTCCACACGGTAGATTATTTCGGCTTTTTTGGTGTAGAGCAGGTGTTCGTTGTTGGTTCATTGGTTTGTTGATTTGTTGGTTGATCAAACGGTTGTTTGGTTGGTGGTGGTTAAAATAGTAGTAGTAGTTGTTGTTGTTGTAGTCGTTGTGGTGATGGCGGTTTTCGTATTTTTTGATGGTTGGTAGTAGTGACACGAGAAAGTAGTAGAAGTAGTAGTAGTAGTAGTAGAAGTTATTATTGTTGGACGCAGATAAATATGCATTCCATATCGGGCGTATTCATTGAATGTGATTTCGGTTTCAATTTCATTTTCGCATTCGATTTCATTTTTTGTATCGGTTTGTGATTTGTGGTTTGGTTTGGCCATATGTCAATAACGAGATTTTTTCGAATTAAAACATTACAATCAATCAATCAATTAATCGATATCGATTTAGAAGAGTAGATTTGCGAACGAGAGCAGTTGAAATAGTAGCAGAGTAGTAATACATAGTAGTAGTAGTAGTAGTAGTAGTAGGTAGTGGAGTAGGTAGTAAAAGTAGAGGTGGTAGAGTAGTAGGAGCAGAAAATACGACAAAATTCAAAAGAAAAAGAAAATCTATTATTTTTGTACATTGACGGTGTAGATTATTTCAATTCAAATTTCAGTGTATCTATTTATGAATTAAAATTTTGAAACCAAATTGCATAGATGTTGACATAAATAATTATGCATGTTTTTATGTATTTTTTTTTTTGTCGTACAAATTTCGAATACTACATAAATTGCAAATAAATGATGAACTTGCAACGAAATGGTAAGGGATACTAATAAAGGCTGGAAATAAACGCACAAGAGGTACACGGGGCACATAGGTAGGCAACGAAAGGATAGACACAAAATGAAACGGCTTGAGATGAAAACGTAAACGAACCCATTTAAGCAATTAAATACTTAACTGAAAATTAAAAAAAAAAACTGAAGTGGATAGAGTATTCGCTGAGAATGCTTCGTCGCTAATCGAGTGATGTTGGTGTTTTTATATATTCAGTGTATGAGGGAATGTATACAGCAGCAGGCCTTTAATGGTATGCAGAGCTGAACTAGCATGAGGACGAGACAATACTCTATGTAGTAGCTAATGTATATTTTCAGGTAATCTAAATATTTGAAAATTTCGCAGAAATACAATACGCTAAACTTCGATAAGCAAAACAAACCGTTGTGATGAAAAAAGACGCCTCAAAGATGCAAGTAAAAATAATGCCTTTTAGGCGACAATTTCAGATAAAAAGCTTCCAACAGAAACTGCATACTTTTAGGTGTTCTAGCGGTAATTTTTGGCATTATAGGAGTTTAACAAATCGATTTCTGAGTAAGTCAATATGATATGCTGGATTCGTATAAAATTTTGCGCGGATTTGTGGGCTCTTGGGCGGAGGGGAGGGGACAAAGGTGTTAAATTTTGGAGGGATAACAGACGTTGTAGCATAAGTACAGATGCTTTAGCCTACAAACAGACAAAAAAAAAGAAGAAAGGATAGTAACCAAAATGATAATATCAAAGTGCACAGAGCAGTACCTAGACAAATTCACAAATACATTTCCGGAAAGCTTGCCTATATCACAAAAGTTCACAAAACACAATCAAAAGCTTAAAAAATCATAACTCCAAGTAAAAAAAATTAATCACTTAAAAACTTAAGAAACAAAACAGCTTCACGATTTCATTTTCAAAATATGATCGGAAATAGCGTAACTATGCATCTTATTTTGAAGTCTAGAGCGGAGAATCGATAAGCCCCTAGGTAGATAGGTAGAGCTACTACATATCCAGAAATGACTTCGTATATGTATATACATATCTGTGCCGTTCAATTAAAGTAGCTTAAGTGACTTTAGAAGGTTTGATTTTGAATTAAAAAATAATCAGTTTCACTTTGAAATTTTTATATTTTTATTAAGCTTCTATTAAAATAGCATCTTGAACTCACCTACGCCTAGTTGAACGTTAAAAAATTTGTTTGGAAACCCAATGAAATTTTGCTTTAAAGGGGAAAGGGCCTCTGCCGACTTGGGCTACTTTAATTGAACGGCTCAGATATGTATAGCGTACAATTCCGTTATGTTTCCTCTTACCTATAAATACATAGAAATGTAGGTAATCTGGTGGTGGATTGTCTTCCATATAAAACAATATACTGAAAATATAGTTCTAAATTTTTTTTTTTTTAACAAAAGTCCTCGTATGTATACAAAGATTGTTTCTTTAGCGAGTTCTATATGTGAACTGTTGCATCAACTATTTTTCTGAACTTTTAAGGCACATCAATTTCCTCAAATTTCGGAGGTATGTAGATCCATCTCTTGATGACTGATAAAGCCGCATCGAGCACAAATTTCAAAGATCATTCACTCAGGACACATTTCACATTTCCAGGAAATCTTTTTCACATTTTTAATTAATACTAAAGGTAACAACTCGTTCATGCTTTTACGTCACATACATATATATGGGCGTTTTGCTGAACCAATTCCAAATGGCAGCTCTCATTTGTACAAATATACAAAGACTATGTCTTGCTGTTGCGAAAAAATACAGATTTCAAAAAATACAAGCACAATCTAAGAAAAAAAAAACTAAAGAGAAATTAAAACAACAACAACAACCAACCAAAAATCTGCAGTTCGGCAGCTGCCAAGCGAAAAGCATTGACGTTTGTGATCTCGCACATAGTAAATGTAGCAGCACAATAGGAAGCTAAGCAGAGGAGCAGGGGAGCAGGGGTGGACGTGTGTGGGATATTAAATGTTTGCCAATTTTTTATAGCAAACGGATGTAGAATTAAATACCTATGTACATTATACCGTATCACCTTAGAAGCCAACTAAAAAAAGTTCGTCGTACACCGCTCAGACTAAAGTATTTTTGAAAGCCGATTTCGAAAAAAAAAATTGTTGGTCGCTAGGGGTCACATTTTCGGTGACACCTACATTCGGCAATAAATTTTTTTTTTATTTGAAAGTTCTAGTAGAATAATCCAAATACTTCCTTAGCAAAGGTTCAATGATTTTTGGCGAGCTTTCGTTTACTGTCATTAGGGTGGTACTTTAGAGTGATAAGAACGGGGGTTTGGTTGGTATGTACCAAAACGGCGAACTTTAGTTCAATGAACATCGATATATCATACCTTAAGATCCGACTGTAAATGCCGAAAATATAAGAAAAATTTCCTTTCGAAAATACTTTAGACTCAGCGATTAACGGCGAACTTTTTTGTTTGGTACGGTCTAATGTACATGAACTAAAATGTGTAATAAACTTTGTCATAAAATCTGACTTGGCTTGAATTTTGTTCGTAAAAAAAAAACACAATAGCACGAGGCACAAATGAATGGTTTGTTTTTGTTTTGAATTTGTTTATAAGAAAGTTGGAATGTTCTTTGCCTAACTGAGACTGCACATAAATTCTAAGAATAGTGCCTTCTTTCTTATTTATGATGCTACTTATACAGCTATGGTCAGAGATTTAGCAACAAAATTCAAATTCATATTGTTTGCAACTTTTGTTTATCTATTTAGTTTTAATAATTTTCATTTAAAATATAATTCAATTTATAACCGAAACCATATATGTATATGTAAATAAAAGTTTAAAAACTTTCACAAAAGTTAACCAAACTTAAAAATAGTTATCACAATTTCAAACTTTTCAATTCGTAAAAATTTTTCGAATATGCAGTTTTGTAGAACATTCAATTTTAGTTAAATAAAGTGCAAGTTTCAAGTCGCTAAAAACTACAGTTGATGATCAAAATCTATTTTTATATGGAAGAAAATGCGCACACCATCCACCAAAAAAATTCAAAAAAATCAACGGTAATTTTTATCGACTTGAAAGTTGCACTTTATTAGCCTACAATTGAATGGTCTACAAAACTGCATACCCGAAAATTTTCTAAAGCTACTGATTAAAACGTTAAAAATTTCGATGACAATTTTATTAGAAACAAATGAATAAACATAAGCTGCAAACAATATCATTTTCAATTTTGGCAAGGTCTGGGATATGGACGCGGGAGTGGTAAAGTGTACACTGTACTTAATGTGTGTGTGTGTGTGTTTGATTCACTGAGAAACTATGAAATGCATACGACTATATTTAGTACGAATAAATATTTTGAATCAAATATGCATAAATTGAAATTTATCTGTTAGGATTGAATAAAAATATATATATATATTTTAGTAATAATTTTGGATATGGTCTAAATTAAATCATGTCTTTGCGCTTAAATGATCATTTATCTGCATGTATTTGAGCGCGTAAGGTAAACGGTTTTGTCATTAGTTTATGACGGTAATAAATAGATTTACAGGTGCATTCAGTTACAAGTAACCGGCACCGGAGGTAGGAAATTACTTGGATTACCTTCAAGGGTTAATTTTTGGACTAAGTAATTGGAAAACACAGTCTCTTGAGTACAACGTTATGTATGTATGTACATATGTATGTATATTAATTGAATAAATATTTAAAATATGTATCATTCATATGTATGTATATTTACAATTTCTTTAGTTAAATGTACGAATAGAAAAATGTGAGATGCATGAAATTAAAAGAAAACTTAAAATAAAACTTGTATTCTAATTACAGATTCAGGTTTTGATGAAATTAAATATGCAAGTTCCATTTCGATACCATACACCACACGTCGGTGTGCTTTTTTACATCAACCAAAATTGTTGATGAATTGAGGACTTTGTTACGGCTGCTTTTGGGCAGGTATTGCAGGGAATTATACTCAAACTTTCCCAGAGAAGTAACTACATACGCTACGAAATCTTTTCACGAAACTAGCGAACTACACAACGCGTACTATTAAAATGATTTTCTACCTAGGTTTATTTTAATGCGCTTAGTAGCGGCACTCTGTGTTACAATTTTGCCAGATACATTTCTATTAGACATATCGACGACTGAGTGGAAGATCGACCTATCTCGGCGGCCGATTCGAAAACGCCCTTACGCAGAAAATGGCTCAAGAACGAATCCCTTCAAAATTTGACTGAATAACGCCTTATCTGAGAATTTTTTGCAAAAACGCACTATACCAACTGAAAATATATTGAAATTAGAGCGTTTTGAGGCGGTACTCAGGTGTCGATATGCTACTGTTTATTGATGTTATTGGAGCTGAGGTCCGTTCCTCACCAAGTGGTTTTTACAGACGAGTCCTCCTTTTGGATGACAAACACAGCTAAGCTCGTCTGATTCCCTACAGACGGTAAGTTGCTGCATCGTCAAGTGAAATGTACAGGAAAAGTTCCTATTTGGAGATGCTTCACAAAAGAAGGATTTGCCAAACTAATAATGTTCACGAATAATTTCGATGCCAACTTCATGACCACGATATAACGACGTAGACTTCTACAATCAACAGAACCAAACATGGAAGTCGCTTGTGTAGCAGTTGGAAAAAGGAAAACGGCGTAATCTCATTAGATTGGCTCTCACCGTAGCCTGATGTGAATCCGATTGAAAACACAAGCTAAAACTAAGTGGAAAAAAGATACAACCCATAAATTAATCAAGGTGTCGTACCTTAGGGTAGTATGCGAACTTTTCCACCGACATACATACATGGTTGAAAAATTAGCTGTGTGTATTTTGTTGTTTGGTTTTGCACTCTAAAATGTCAAATTAGTTAACAACATTTGACATTATAAAGAGAAATGTAAAAATGCACTATGCAAGTGGTTGGCACTGTACATAGTTACCAAAAAAATGTTTTGAGTTTGAACTGAAGTTGCTATGAACAAAAATGCTGAATTTATTGAGGTTCATATCTCAATGATTTTAATTTTTAGTTTGTCTGCAAAAGTTTGAGCATTTTCTTTTTACAAACGGCATACCTCAATAATCGAATAGATTTACATACACATGTATAATAATTACCTAACAAATAAAAATTAAATTCCTACGTGGCGTTGTCATTTTAAATATAGAAATTCATGAAATAAAGGGGTAGCTAAATTAAAAACAAAATTATAAAAAAAATGTATACATAAATTGAGATGTTTTTGTAAATATTGATACTTGCATAATAATAATAAATTTATATACATATATGTATGAAAGTACAAGTACTTATAAAAATCGAATATGAAAAATTATGATCAAATACATACTGTCTTTTTTCAACTAAAACTTAGTTTGGGTGGTTGATTAGTTTCACTATGACTGTACATTTTATGTATTAAATAATGTTATAAGCGCTACTCTATGGGCTAGTGAATGAAAGCCTACACGAGTATCAAATAGTCAAAAGAAAAATAGATGAGTCTATATTATGATAATAAGAGCACATACATGTATGTAAGTATGTATGTATTTAAATAAGTGATTGGATAAAGGAATTACAAAAAAAATAAAATAAAAATTAAATTAACGAACTATAGTAACCAAGAGTAATCAAATGAAAATGAGCAAATATGTGAACTACAGTTAATGGTACGTTAATAAGTAGTAAGTAGTATGTTGTAGAGATAAGAGTTGTACAGAGTATAGTATATTAACATATTTATATATGCATGTAGTAAGTAGTAAGTATGTGGTAAATGGTTAAACAACAGTAAAGTAACTGGTACATACCTCCTTCAGCATTGGCATCGTCTTGTGTGTAGCAAAGCATAAAAGCTAGAAAATTAAAGAATTAAGAAGAGATTTCTTTCAGTTAAAAAAGAACAGCAGCAGTAGTTGAAAAAAAAAACACAAAAGAGTAAGAGTGGTGAATGGGTTGAAGGGAAGAAAAAATAGTAGTAGTAGGGTAATGGGAAAGATGTACATATGTATGTACTAGACATGTATGTATGTATAGAGTAGATTGCTTGACCAGCATACATAGATACATACATCATACTATGTTGCTGCTGAAAAAAGTTAAATGTTGGGTTGCAGTGAAGTTTGAGTATCGAGATTAGTTTAAATTTGAAAATTTTGTAGCTATTGTTTTCATTCAATATGTAATGTGTAAAGGATATAATGTTTAAGCAGCAAATTATTGAATGTTTCAAGATCAATACACAGTCTGCTTAGTTGCAAATATTTGTTTTATTTGTTTCTTTCACTGGCATAAGTAGTTTAAATTTTATTTTTATTTGAGAATAATTAATTTCGAATGACGCCTTCACGTTATTTTAGTAGAACAATGGATACATGGGAAATTGATTTTTAAATGAAGCTGAGAGATAGAATTGTAAATAAATGTACTATGCAATTAAAAGTTTTCAACAGAAGAAAATCAAGTGGAATAAAAAAGTAAAGAGAATTAATTGAAGAGTAATTAACGGTCAATTGAAAAAGTATTGCTTCTGGTCGGTCCGCAGGTTTTTTTTTTGTTGTTGTTGTATGTACTACATATACATATCTATGTAGCACGAATGTGATACAAAATGTCTTATGCGTGTGTTGAAGTTGTAGATTTGCAGTGTGCGCGCGCGTTTAGACGATACCAAAAAAAAAACACTACACAATAATGTTTTATTTTATAAGAGCATTTTCTTTTTTCTTTTTTTTTGTGTGTCGTATGCTCTATGATTGGCGGTATGATTTTGTACCAGTACATTTGATATTTTTTACTAGTAATCCTTAACCCGACAAATCATTGAGTAGGTGAATATTCTTGTATACCCAGTAAACCAAATTTTGTTATCGAAAAAATCGATAGTGCGTAGAAAGTGCGCTGAATTTGCCAGCAGCTCATAATTTTGTTAGAGATTACTAAATATTCAACAGCTGGCATAGTGCTTGACAATATTAAATCTAGTTTGAGTTTCAATTTGGAAAAGATCTACTTATAAAGCCACCAAGTCATCAATTGGAAAATAATTCATACCTCGACACTTCACTTCCACAGTACTACTTCAAATTTCTAACTGAAAAACAAACGAGTTCACCGATAGGTTTGCATACCACATGAGACAGGAAGAAGAATGTTGATACAATGGAAAGAGATTCTTGAAGGTCACTTTTAATATAAAAAACAAAAATCTGAGAAATTAGATGTCACTGGTAAACAAAAATTAGTATTGAGAAATTTGGCATCTTCTTAAATTGAAATTAGAACGCCGCAAGCAGCATAAGAAAAAGGAAATGATCTACTTCAGGAGATGAATTTTGCCCTCTAAAAGTAGGTTTTAAATTTGTGAGGAATAAATAGCAAACTAAAATCGAATTTATACGAAATGAGAAAATAATATATTGCTGGATTTCAAAAAACAAATCGTCACCTGAAATGCAAAAAGACGAAACAACATCATCGCTGAAACTTATAAATAAATCAACATTCACTTTTGGTTTTATATGATGGATTTCATCGAATTGCAACTCCCTAAATCATTTTATAAAAAAAAAAAAGAAATATTAAGCACGCGTTTTCCACTTCAGTTGCGATGTTGTTACGTCTTTTTGCATTTCAGGTCACGAAATACTACAATAAAAAATATTAATGATGGGGGCAATAAACCTGTACTTCAAGGCTAAAATAGACGCAGCACATATTTTTCGGAGGAATAAAAACAATCGAGTATTTTATCTTCCTCCTGGTGCCTTTTATTGAGGCCTAGTGAACATTTTTTGAAAGAAAATCAGTTATTAAAAATGATAGGTAGATATAATCACGTAAAGGCAAAAAGGGAAAAATCAAATGTGTATTAAAGGCAAAAAAGGGAAAAATCAAATGTGAATATTATTTGATTTTTCCTTTTTTGTCTTTACGCGACTATACCTTAATTAGAATTAAAAAAAAATTTAATATTTAAAATAAAAGCCCATATTCGAAAATAGTGCTACGAAAAATTCGTATACATATGTATAAAAATATCAGTGTAAATAATGTTTAAATATTTTGGATTATATTCAGAAGCGGCTTATAGAAGCCGAACTGGGTTGGAAAAACTCAATACCCTTTTTCAGCCAACGAAAGTTTGGAGACATTAAGGGCCGGTAGAAATCATTGAGCTGAGCTTAATGGTATACTTTATGTTTGGGGGAAAACAACACTAACCATTTTCGAATATTATTATTTTTTTATCGGAAATTAACGGAGCCCCTAAATTTTTATTGTGTTCCGTTGTATTTTTTGCTTAAAAATTTCTAGTAATTTAAACGATTCTCGATCATTAAAAGGTTTTCCAGCAAGTAATTATTTGGTAAATTATTGAGTAAAAGATGATATCCTTTATAAAAAGATAAAGCTTTATAGAGTGTAATTTTCATACGGATTTTCGATTTATATAGCAGTTAAAGTTTATTTATTTTTTATGAATTTTGGTATATGATTTTAAGCACAACGCCTAACTTTATGAAAAAAAACTTTTCACAGTGGAAACTTTTTGACAAATCAAATTTCGTTTAAAAACAGAATCGTAGTCGTAGAAAAATGTATTCACTTCACGCTTTCACAGGGTCATTCAAGTACGACCCCTGGTTATTACTATGGATATGAGATCTTGGAGATATTCATGTCCCCATGGTCATCGGGATATCTCCATCTTCAATCTACAACAATAAAGCACCCTAAAGAATAGTTATCATTTAACCAAATAACCTAATGCCAGCTAGATCAGAATAACGATATAATTATGCATGTATGTATGTAACTTTTTCCATTAATACTTGGCGACTTCAAAGTAAGTAATTACAACAAATTAGATAGAATTTCATGAGAACGCTACAACCAAATTAGTAAAAGTATTGTTTTTTAAAATAGTATTTTTTTACACTTAACCTCATTCAAAGTAATTTCTGTTATTTCCTACTAATATTACCAATTTTTTCATAAATGTTATCATCCTAAGTAAATACATATGTAATATAAATTATAAAGTAAATCAACGACTAGAATAAAAATGGGTTTAAAACTTACGTTGCGGTTCACTTAAATCATTGTTGTTAACACTGTTAACATCAAGTTCACTATTGCTGTTTACAACTCCATTGGCTGCTGTACACAGGCACGCATACATGCGCATATGTGCAACGCGCAGTGATGATGGCAGAGCAATGATGAGGACGGAGACAACGGATATGCCCCGTATAGTAAAGAGCCAGAGTGTGCCAGTTGTGAGTATAACAAACAAGCGATTACCGTATTTTTTTTTTTTTTGTAATTATTAATAATTGCATATTGTATGCCATTAGATTCCGAATTGTATGTATGTAAGTAATGAATGAACGGAGAGATAGATGAACGATCAAAAATAAATAGTAGTTGTTTTGACGGACGGAGGACGAGGGCGATGTATGTTGATGGTTGTAGATGATGTTGGACGCCACAAAAGATATACGGTTTTTAGACGTTTTTTTTTGTTTGTTCGTGATGGTAAGTAGTATTGTGTGTTCGTGATTTTCATGTAAAAGCAAAAAATATACAAATTAAAAATTATATTAAAATTATGCAATAACATAACAAGAAAACACAAACATAATGTACAAATTAAACGCATAAACTAATTAATTTTAATAATAATATGGTAACAAACTCACAAAAAGCATAAGCAAAACAAAAGGAAAAAAGTATTCATTTACGTAAGCAAACCAACGCAATTAAAAAAAAAAAAGTCAATATAGGGGCGGTCTAGAAGAATAACAGCAGCGCCTGAAGGCGGGCTTCAGACTGCCTGAAAACGGGAAGATACTTTAAAGCCTGCATCATAAAATTACTAACAAAGGGCAGTAGAGAATTGTATATTGTGTTTATTTTATTAAAATCCTATCACGCAGCTAACTTCACTACATAAGCGCTAATATACAAACAAACACACACACACACACACGCACGCAGACGCTTACGCGCATAAATCCATACATTTTAATTTCACATTTTATAAAAACACTCACGTTTCACATACTTCCTTATTACTACTTACGCTCTTGATCACTGCCATCTTCTCCCAATTTTTCGTCGCGACTCTTCATGAACGGAAATTTCCGTGAAAACGTGAAATTCTTCTTCTTACGATCCAGCGTCGATTGCTGCTTGAAAGTAGGCGCGAAATGTGTCAAAAAAAAAATTTTGTTTATTAATTGAAATACCATATAACTACAACAACTACGGCTACTTCAACCGATCAAGCGCTACTGTACCTCATTACTGACCTTGTCCAGGTTATTGTTGGCTGCAGCGTGACCCTGAAACTTAACACTACGATCGCGTGCGCGCATCTTTCGTTCCCATCGTCGTTTCGATGGCACAATACCGATTTGTTCGTCTTCACTGTCGCCCAGCACGCGACGTGCCTGCCACCATTCATCATCGGAAGCATTTGTCACGTGTAGTATGTCGCCATGGCGGAAGGGTAGACCGCGCGATGGTAGCCCATCATCACGATTCGGATCGTAATCGAACAGCGCACGCACGTACAGTGAACGCTTTTGAGAGGTGCGCAACAGTGTGCCAGTACCGCCGGCCGACAATGCAGCCTGCTGTTTCAGCTCCTGTATGCGCGCCTCAAAGCGATTGTACTCCTCGGGGCGATACTGTGCGACTAATGTGACAACACCACCGGAACTCTGTGAACGAAATAGCGGAAATGAATACAACCGTTATGAGTAGGGCATAGGGTGAAGAAAATATGAGTTTTTAATGAGGCTGATACCGAGTATTCAATAAATTCCCCTACCAGAACAGGTAGTTCCTATGAATTTTTTAACAGCACCTCACCAACGTACATGAGAATTCAACTCTCGTTCACGACCTACATTTCACAATTAAAATTCCCGTTGGTTTATGATATTTTTCTTTTTTGAAATGCTGACGGTGTAACGCATTTTGTGCCACAATTATTTTTGTTGAAAAAAAAAAAATAATAATAAGACCATCGGCAAAAAAATATCAAAAATCAACGCGAATTCTTAGGCACTTGAAATTTGGACTTCGTTAAGCTTGAATTTAAGGGCATACGGTTTCAGCATACTTAGAAGTTTTCTAAAAATTCTTAATAAAAAGTTTGTTGTATTTGTTTTTTAGTTTTCGTAATTTGTCTATTTTATACAAAAAAAATTAATAATAAACCTTAAACAAACAAAAGATGATAGGGATGAAAGTCGCTTTGACTAGCAGCGAATCAGACTGGTGACGTCTAGACTCACACTGGCGAAATAAATAAACCCGCTAACCTCCTGTAGCTAACACGGGACTTTATTGAAAGAAACAACATACATATATAGATTACAGCTTCATTCAAACCGTGTATTTACATTAGGGTGCATCGCTTTATATACAAACAAAAAATCGGTACTATTTTTCCATCGGAAATATAAAATTTATTATTTTTAATAATTTTATTGAGCTTTGTACCACGATTGTTTATTAGGAAAAATTGAAAAAGCAACAAAGTCTATGCGGTAGAAGCTATAGGAGCTATTTCGGAGATCACCACATCTCCTCAGCCGACTTTTTTTTGCTAGATTTCAGCATCTCCGAAATAGCTGTTATAACTTCTACCGCTTAGACTTTGTTGCTTTTTTAATTTTTCCTAATAAATAATCGTGGTACAAAGCTCAATAAAAATATATTAAAAATAAAATGTTAATAAGCCACAATAACATTGACAAATAAAATTTATTATTTTTTTATAAAATTATAGCTCATTGCCTAACAAAAACCATATAAAGTCACATTTAAAACTTAGAGCAAAAATTATAAAAATTCTGCAAACTGCATCTAAATTTTCAACTTTTTAACCACATTTTTTAGATTTTTTTTGAGTATGTAGTTTAATAGCCCATTAAATTTTAGTAGAATGAAGGTAAGTTTTAAGTTGGTAAAAAATTGCGTTACTTTTTGAAATTTTTTTAAAGCGTTTTCTCCCATACAAAGTATGTTTGACCTTTTATTTTTGTATGGAAAAACGTGCGTAATACATTCAAAATTAAAAGTATCAAAAACTAATGCGATTTTTAGGAACTTTGAACTTGCATACGAATAAAAATCTGATTAAAAAGTTGAAAATTTAGATGCAATTTTGCAGAACTTTTATAATTTTTGCACAAAGTTTGAAATATGAATTTATAGGGTTTTTGTTGGATAATGAGCTATACTTTTATAAAATAAATAATAAATATTAAATAAACAAAAGAAAAATAGGAAAAATGTGTCAATTTGTTTATTTTTCCACCACTGTATGTCAAGACTTCCGCCAAAAAAATTTCGAAAAATGAAAATACCTACAGAAATCGCGATTTTTTATAAAAAAAAAATAGTTTTGAAAAATATTTTTTCTAAAACATCATCTAAGATGATAGAAGAGTTTAAATGAAAAGGTTTGCATGAAATAAAAAAAAATATATTAATGGAGTCGAAATAATGGTATTTTATGAGGTATTTATAAATAGCTCTAGTTCACGTAAATATTAAAAACAAAATTGGCGAAGGTCTTAAATTATAATAACTACATTTTATGGTGTAAAGCAAGCAAGTTTTTTTAGTGATGCACTCTTATGTATTTACATACATATCGCTGATTTATGTACTTCAGTAGAGTGTCATAACTGAACAAAGCAAAACTCCAGAAAAACAGCTTCAAGTTTTGAATTTACATATACTCACATAATAAAAATCAATACATATTTGGGGTATTCGCAACGGTTTCGTAAGTGTCGTATTGTTGTATATTATTTCGTAAACTTTAAACGGCTAAAAATATATATAAGAGGTTCGCAAGATACCGTAAAAGACATTTTATGAATTTTCACACTGTTAAAAAAATAGTTGGTGGTGTTTTCAAACGTTTATTTAACCTTCTAAAGTTTCGGCATACAAGAATGTCGCATTCTGTTTGAATACCCCAATTTTATTCTAGTGATATATGTACTTGTAATCGATACAGCTACAAAATTTTCACATATAACAATAGGTAGCGCGGTAATTTCTGTATACTAAACTCAATTTTCGTAATTTTTGATTACGACACTAAATATTGAAGTAAATGGGCGATATGCACTTCAAGGCCCAGCCACCAAAAGCATAACTCACCTTCAACGCCTGAGCGGCCTCTTCATGGGTAGCGTTCTTTAGGCTGACATTATTTACGCTCAACAGCTGATCGCCACGTTTCAGCTCACCGCCGGCGTCAGCAGGCCCACCAGCAAGTATAAATGACACATAGATAC